TCAAGAAGTACTAAGAGCCCTCTCTTTCACCCCATTTCAGTAAAGCATTTTAGCACAGCAGAAAGTTTACCATTTTCTTCCCTTTTGCTCTCCTCTAGTACAACTTGTACTAAGTACTACAAACTGCAAATGATAGAAAGCTCTTATTTTTACCTTGACCCAGAATCTGACAATTAACTGGATGCAAGTGTTCAGCCACTGTATTGGATCTAGTGGTCAATCCATAACACTTTTGAATTAAGAAGTATGGAATATAACTTGAATAAAGATGTAGCACCATAATAAAATTTAATGTGATTATATTTATTTTTATTTTTACTTTTATGTTTCTTTTTTCAACCTTTTTGTATCTTTCATTTGGGTTTATATACCACCGACCTCAATTAATTTGGGATAAAAGTGTTGTTGATGTTGATGTATATTTAGAAATACTATATTTAGTAGTACAATTAGACCTATTTGAATTTATATATATATATATATATATATATATATATATAGGGTCAGGATTATTTTACACCAGTGTAAGTTACACTCTTAATCTTGTTCGTTGATCCCATTTATATCTAAGGGCTCAAATTTTTTAGTAATGTGAGTCATTGGATACAATTGGATCAATGGTTAAGATTGAGTGTAAGACTTCTAACTCTTATACCGGTGTAAGAATATCCTAACTCATATATATATATATATATATATATATATATATATATATATATATATGGGTTTAGTGAGTGTACAATGACTGGATGTAAAATTCGGTCCAGTGCATTATGTTCTCTCGCGAGAACACAGTTATAGTAAAAATTATACTATAACTGTAAAATAACCATACAAGAGAGTTGATTGCTTGATATAAATAACCATATTGCATTATTGGATCTTGTTTAAAAAATATTGTAGATAAAAGTATATATATATATGGGAAATATTACTCTCCTTTCACATAAGGTAACTTATCTCATTTTCTCTCACTTCGATTTTCGCACCCTACTTTTTTCTTCTTTTTCTTTTTTCTTACAATAGTGGGACCCACTCATTTTCTCTCTACCACATAAGATTACTATCTTATGTGAAAGGAGATTAATAAAACTCTATATATATATATATATATATAGGAAAAAATGAAAATAAAGTGACTGGATGTAAAATTCGGTCCAGTGCACTATGTTCTCCCGGGAGAACACTATTGTAAAATTTATTGCACTATGTTCTTGCGGGAGAACATAGTGCACTGGACCGAATTTTACATCTAGTCACTTTATTTTCATTTTTTCATATATATATACTTTTATCTACAATATTTTTCAAACAAGATCCAATAATGCAATATGGTTATTTATATCAAGCAATCAACTCTCTTGTAAGCTTAACTCGTTAGGTGAAGCAAGATGAATAACATTATACTTCTAATATAAATAGTTTTATATTTTAATTTTATATTATATTTTTAACATGTTTTCACACACAAAAGTTTATTAGGTTTGAAGGTATGAACAATGTACAATTCATGGTAGATAATGAATAATCCATCTACTTGTACTAAGAACTTTCATAATTTTTATTAGAAGATTATTAGAAAAACGAGGGCGGTGATAATCACTCTGTAGTACTACTCATGGAGACTTGTTACCATATCAAGTAACCAAGATTCTCAAAACCTTAAACTATGAGTTAAAGGAAAATCAATGGTTTTATATTTTATATTATACTTCTAATAAAACATTATCCAATTTAACCACCACTTAATCAATCATAATTCTAAAGTTTTTCTAGTTTAATCTCATGTTCTTTCAATCACTTTTGTATGTACAAATATCTTTTCCGTGTAAAACTTTAAATAATAAACAATACTTCAAATTTTCACTACAACATCCAAGCCAGTTGGATTAAAAAAATTAAAATTGAAGTTCGCATTTTGTTATCCTTTTCTTTAGGATCAAGCAACAATGTGCTTCTTTTTACACTTTCTCCCACTAGACAATTTATATTTATACTCCATTTGATGCGCATGATAATGATAATGCCTGATAAAATTGTAATACTATATATGCGGCTTTTTGAGTTATATTATATAAGACACAACATTGTGTAAGAATGTATCTAAAATATAAAACTCTGTAAGACAATATATTGAAAAAATGTGTAGGATAATATTGCTCTATGTTTGGTGATACACTTTATAATACTATATAATATAAAAATTAATACTTTTTACGGAAATATTGTTGATTTAAAAATATATATGATATATTTTTTGGTACATTATATATATAATATTTATTTAATATTATTATTTAAATATTTTTTGTTTTATTATTTTTGGATAAATAAAAGTCCCTTGAGCGCAGGAATAAAAATTGATAAAAAAATAATAATAATTTTCTCCATCCCCGATACATATATCAATATCTAGCATATATAGAAATAGAGGGGAAAAAAAAAGTATAAAAAAAAAATTTGATTGTCATGTATACCTTGATTTTTCTAATGATTTGTCCTTACCTTGAAAACTTATGGACACTGTCATTTCCATCAAGAAACATGGGAAGGATTCATTCTCAGCCCCACCGGATCTCCCAATTTGTTTCACTATGCCCATGGAATAAAGAAAAGCAGTCTGTTAACTGCTAGCAAAGAAATTTTCAGTATAAAGTTGTAAAAGAAGAAATATATCCAGTATTTGCAAATAAACAAAGTCATATAAGATACAATATAATAAGAAAAATACTAGTCTCATTTAATACGAGATAATTATTTCATATTTTTTTATATATACTCTTTAATAATAGGTCTCACCTAGCTAGAGAATTACTCTTCTGTCAAATGAGAGAACTACTCTTATATAAAATGAGAAGAACTACTCTTATATAAAATGAGAATAATGACCGGCCCATTTCTATAGATTTCTCACGATCCTCTCACCGAATAACCGATTATAGAATATTACTTACTTAGACTAATCCCAAGAGAGCCGAATCACCTAATTAACTTTTCTTTGAAAACCACCTTTTATTTTGTCTAAAAACATTATAGAGTACCCATGATCGAAACCTAAAACATTGAATTCATAATAGTGTTACCAAAAAATGACATCTTTATGCGTGTATAACATGTGTCTGCACCGACACCTCGGAGCCTTGTTTAGAAAATGGCAGCCATAGCAAGACTTAACCTGTATACTATGCTACTTTTAAGTTCTATCAAAGGTGCTTTAGGTTCCTTTCGGTTATACGTTGTTTGGAAAATAACAATTTTGTTTGACCTATGATTACTCTTCATTTCTGTTATAGCGAAAGTCCCCTTCATCATTTGAGTTAGAAAACTTAGAATAACGCAGCGTTCATAGTGGTAAATCAAAGTACTATAGAAGTTATCATTATACCATTGTTATGTGACCTAAAAGAAAAACATTCTTGTGGTCCAAGGTATGATGCATTTCCATAGCTATTCCGAAAAGGAAATGATGTCAGACAAGGGCTAAAAAAAAGTGCCCAAAAGAACATGTTCTGTGCCTAATTATAAGTGAACGAAAGGAATATATATATATATATATATATATATATATATATACACGAGGAAGGTTATACTTATGACTTTTTTTTTACAACCTCTTATAACCATATCTTAATACCTTGATTTCTGTCAATCAACGGTTATGATTTTCACAAATTAAACTCATTAATTAATTATTAATTCACAATAAATAATAACCGTTAATGGGCGAAAATCAACGGTGTTAAAATATGGTTGTAAGAGGTTGTAAAAGAAAATTGTAAGTATAATCTTACTATATATATATATATATATATATATATATATATATATATATGAACTTATCGTTTCTCAAGCTGCCTATCTCCGGCTAATAAATCATTAACCATACAAAGATGGATCAATGGTAATGAATAAGAGAGAGAAAAAAATCATAATCATTCAAAGGTGAATCAATTAATATAAAGAAATAAATAAACAAAACGACGTAGTTTCAGAGTGGCCAGAGATAAACTTATCTCAAGTTGCCAAAGAAATATTTCTCTCTCTCTCTCTCTCTCTCTCTCTCTCTCTCTCTCTCTCTCTCTCTCTCTCTCTCTCTCTCTCTCTCTCTATATATATATATATAGGGGATATTTTTTCTGCAGCTGCTATAGAGAACTACTATCTGCAGCTGACACAAAAAAGTGGGCTCCACTGTTTTTTTTTTTTTTTAAAAAAAACAGGATCTGATTCCGTATGCAGCGGCTGCAGAAATCATTTTGCCATATATATATATATTAAGTCGAAAAGATTTTGGAGTCATGGACAACATCTTCAACGCGCAAATCTACTACAAATAATGTCTCGCGTAAACCACCCAAGGAAATTGAAAATCAATTCTAACTTGTTCATCTTTCTAAAGTCGAGTCTAGATTTTGAAATAATGCTTCTAGTGGTTCAAAGTTAGTGGCTTTGACTTTATTTTTTTATGGAACCAAACGAATTGCTTCGCAACCCTATAAATGACGTCCTGAATTCGTGCATTTGGCAATTCAATAATCTCTCTACTTTTCAAATTAATAGATAAACAATAAACCAATTTCCCTTATCAATTATAGCTTGAACAGTAAACACAAAATATCATGACCTTGGCATTTCTTCATCCACAGAGACCATGACTATTAAATAGTCTTCATTCCACATGGATAATAATAAAACTGCTAGTTTGTAACTAAAATAATCTCTTTATAAATATATAAGGATAAAATTGCGTATAAAAATTTCACTCACCACACCCTTGCTAGTCAAAATTTAATGGGGAATGATATTCTGCATCATCATATTATTCCTCTTGCAAGAAATCTTTCTCCAAAATGACAGAACTAAGAACCCGAAGTACCGAGTGATACGATGAATATAATGATAACCCTTAGGATGATAAGGGTGCCCATCTTTTGAACTCTACCAAACTTCAAAATCATACCACCAAATTTTTTAGAAATAAATCATTCTAAAACAGTGAATAAACAAAACTAGAAAGCTTCAGGCAGAAATGTTAGCTCGATTTGTCTAAAGCATTTGCTTTGTTATATAAGGAATAAATTAAACTCATTTTGAGTTCATGTTGGCTCATTGCAAATTGGTTGATCATCCCAATGACAAACCCACCAATTATATAAACCCAGTCATCTATTTGGGTTCCAAGTCTAACACACCATAAATTATATGCTTCAGCATTCACCCTTAAGTATCTGGAGGAAAAACCTCAAATGAACTCGATAAGCAAGACAGAACTTGAGAGCTCAAGACTACAGATAATCAAAAGATATCTGAAGTCAGAAATATGCCTTGAAAAACCCTCTTCTATGGGGTTTTGCTACAAGCAACATACCCATCATTTTTCTTCCTTGGAGGTGCTTTCCTGATCATAACATGCAAATGTGTAACTTTACTGACCACCGGAACTGCGCATTTGCAACCTCTTCCTCTCTAACTCTAGCTACACAGAAGGAAAACGAAAAATCAACATCAAACCAAGTAGAACTAGCTGACAAAAAAATTTGCAGGAAAGGAAATGTTTTATTTAGAGAAGACTATCAGGGCAAATTTTCTACCAACAAATAAGTCACATCATTTTCCTTAAACTGTCACAAAAAAATCTTCCAAACAGATCTTAGCTGATAGAGTTTCCCATATTAATGGGTTTTTTTATTTTACACAAGGCATTGAGGTTTGAACCTACAATCACCCATAAACTACCGAGATATTGTATTTAAACTTGAAATCCTATCTAAGATCAGAAAGGATTGTAAATCGTGGGATCGACATAAATCGTTAAAATCCTACCTTTTAAGATATATATATATATATATATATATATATATACGAAAAATCCAAAATTCAGTCCCTGGACTGTCCAGTGAGTGAATTTTGACTATATTCTCCCGCGAGAATATAGTGCAAAAACATTACAATGGTGTTCTGCAGGTGTTCTCCCGGGAGAACATAGGCAAAAAATTTTGTGCACTATATTCTCGCGGGAGAATATAGTGCACTGGACCTAATTTACATCAAGTCACTTGATACTCACTAAACCCATATATTATATATATATATATATATATATATATGGGAAATTATACTCTCATGTTACATGAGATTCATCTCCCATGTTGCATGAGATTCATTTCTCATGTTACACTCACATAAAAAGATGTGCTTCTCTTTCTTTCTTTTTTAAATTGGTGGGCCCCACTTTTTTTGTCTCACAACATAAGATACTTTTTCTCTTATTGTTTCTCCTGCAACAGGAGATAAAATTATCTCCAACAATCTCAAAACTACGTCGTTTTGAAAGATAGAAAAATTAATAAAGGGTATTTTGGTAAAATTCATATAACAAAGAAACAAATAAAATTCTTAAAATATCCTTCATTAGTTCTCTCAATCGCCAAAACGACATAGTTTTGGGGTTGCCTGAGATAACTTTATCTCCTGTGACATGAGAAATATTTTTCCCTATATAGACAAACACACACACAAATAAAAAACCTCTAAATCATTATTAAAATTTAATTAAAGTTAAGATATTCTTTTTTTATGTCATTTATTTTCATTTTCATAAGAATATCTATATTATAAATAATTAGTAATTAGTATTTAATTATAATCCCATTTGATTTAAATATAGAAAATTTATTATGTTTTATATTTTCAATATGTCAAATATATAATTAAAAAAAAATTATACTTCCACAAATTGTTGACTTAAAATAGATGAAACTGTGTTAACGAAAGATAAAACTAAAACTGAAAAACCCAAGTTTCAGCCCACAATAGCAATGGTCCAGCAGACCCAATCTTTCCCAAATTCAAGTTAGAATTGAAAACCCTAATTTCAATTTTGAAGAGAGAGCCGTCCTCACACAAGAGACACGTACATTGTGCTTGTATTATAGAGGTTGGGGCTTTGCACAGGGGCAGTCACCGGAGAAAGGCTAACACATTGGAGAGATGAATCTATCGCTTGGGTAGGGTTCATAGGGGTTCTCTCTTCTCTCTTTTTTCGATTCTCCAGGGGTGTATGAAAGATAAACGGGTTCTGGGTATATGAATGATAAATGGGTTCTCTTTTTGCAGATCGTCTGACAGTTAAATCGCACAATTTCACCGTTTTTCCGATGTTGATGGGTGATCCCAGCCGAACCCAATCCTACAACCAATTTGCATCATCCATGTCGGAAGAACTCATAGGATCATACAATACTACAAGTTGGCACACAATTTTGACTACCTTGTACCCAGACCCCTCACAAGTCACCACTAGCCCACTTTAAATTAATGGGTGTAATGATTTCTTATTGTAAGTAATAATGCATCATAAGGCCCCATGGATGAGCAACCCTAGTGCACATATTGCACTCAATGTTGTACCAATCTATACCAAATTTGATATGCTATTAATACAAATATTTCCTTATGCCATAGTATATTAAGGACTAAACAAATAGCAAAAGAAAGGTATTTTTAATGTCATACCACTTTCTTCACCCGCTCATTTGCAGCAGGAGTACCTCCAATCACAGATTCAGGGTGATAAGGACTGCTAACACGCACCTCATTCATGACAACAATGACAGTCTTGTCCCAGCGGACTGGAAGCCTGGTTACAAGCTAATGTCATCAGTTAAAAGGAAAGCTAATAAGTAGTACTGGTGAAACTAGTTCATGAATCATATCTATCAAGAAAAATACAAAACCTATAAAGCTGAAGATTCAAAGGCAAAAAGGGACCCTTAATGCGTGGAGATTCCAACACTTTAGGCAAGAATGCCAACAAGTGGGTGACTCACTAAAGAAAGAGGTTAACATTAGAAAAGAAGAAAACAGTAAATTATTGGAGTGTTTTGCATTAATTTTCTTTATGAACTAATCACACAAGCATAACATCCATAGTAAAAGTAACACAGTAAAATGTTAAATTTACAATGCTATGTTAGATGGATGGGCTTTTTGCAATTATCAATAAGGGGCAAGTCGGCAGATTGACCCATCTAATGCTAAAAGAAAAAAAAATACCAGAATAATGCGATTTTGAAACATACTACCATAGTAATAAAATAAGTCCTGCATGGGGTGGGTGCGAAACCAGTCCCGTATGGGGGGGGAGGTGCAGGACTTGCTGGATTGAGCCACATGACAAATGCTGACAAGTCTAGGTGTTTTGCTTTGAAGTTTGAACAGTTTAGCTATGAACATTTGCCATGGTTTAACCATGGTTATTATTTGTTCAAAATATAACCATTAGACTTGCCTGCATTTGACACATGGTCCAATCCAGCAAGTCTCACACCCACCCCATGCGGGACTCATTGCAGTACTTTGGTAATATGTTTCAAAATTGCATTATTCCAGTAATTTTTTTTAAATGCATTCGAATGGTGTTTTTTTAGAAGAGTCGATCTTCTGCGCAAGTGCCATGCCTCACCAGATGGTCTGAACCAAAAAGGAAAGTCTAAGGCATTAAACGCATGTGCCTCATTGAAGGCCAGCATTAATTACATGGAAAAAACCACGCAGATACTGAGCATTAAACCATACAACAAAAATTTCCAAATTAATTTTAGAGTAACTATGTATTTTTCCATTTCATCAACCTCTCTTAAAACCTTTGTGTTACATCTCCATCACTTTGTAATATAGGTCCAGGCTACCTAAATTGTGCAACTTGTGGTATTCAGTGATCCCCAACTTTTTAATTTGAAAACAAGTTAAGACTCTGACCGCAAAATGCAAGAAGTTAGATGGATAATATCCCTGTAAAGTACAGTTGCTATCCAAGCATCTGTAAACATTTCATTTTCAAGTTTACAATCTATATCTGTAGAGGATATCAACATGCATTATCATAAGATATCTAAATAAAATTCTGATACAACAGCAAGAAGAAACCATAATCATATCAAGAATATCCTCTACCATCCATATTCTGATATCCAAGACTAAGCATATGCAAGATAAATCACGTGTCTTTCTTTCTCCTTTTACAAAAACATTGTCAACACACACACACACACACACACAGACGAAAAGAAAAAGCCTCCCTTACCTTCACATTTTGTTTGGACATCCCATCACACTATTCAATCATTAAGGTGATGAGACTTGAGAACCCTAGTATCTAACATAACTAAAACACAAGTGTGTACCAAGATTTATAATAAAAAAAACAGTCACACATATGAAAGCTTTACAATGCAAGTGGAATAGTCTCCACCTAACAACCATGCCATACAGTCACCCCAAATAATGCATGCCAGGAAGATTAAAATTCAGTAATAGGAACAAGAACCTTACAACTATCTCACAAAAACAAATGAATTTTACTAATAAGCCAGAGTAAAACTCAAAAAACTGGTTTGACTATAAATATGAAATCGTGCCACCACGTGATCCAAACTAATTTGGTTCAATTCAACAACATATAACTCAGCACTTACGTCTTAGATAAAGCATCAAAGATGCTCTGTGCCTCGCTGGTAACACCAACCCCAATCCTCTCAGCCTCTGCTTCTGCTTGTCTACAACCCAAAATCATCACACATTTATTTTATTTTATTTTAAGAAAAAAAGGTTTGAAAAAAAAAAAAAAAAAAAGTTATACCTAATGGCAAGTTCTTCCCTTGCTTGAAGAGCAGTGAGGTCAAGGAAACAGTTGGTAGGATCAAGTGGGTCATCGTGTTGACCTAAAAAGGTGAAGTCTTTGATGTAATTAGCCTTCAACAAGCGAATGTTTCGACGAGGGCCAGGTTTGGAACGTTCTTGGAGTACGAGGATGTTGGAGGGGCGATCAAAGGTGACAACTTGACCTTCAAATTCGTCGCCCAAGGTTGTCCTAATCGACAGCAAGCACCCCACCGCCAACTCCTCAACGTTGTTGCCACCATCCATCATGGCCATTTTGCTGTGTTGTGTTATGTTGGGTGCCCTTACGCTTCTTCTTCTTCTTCCTACTTTTTTTTTTTTTTTTTTTGTAACTTCTTCTTCTTCTTCCTACTTTACCCCTTCACAAAATGGACTAACTCCAACTTCACTACTACCCTTTGGATTCTTTCCTTGGACCAATTTTTAGTTTGGTTTGTGATTTGGGCTCAATTTTTATAAGAAGTTAGCAATAAGGTTTGCTTTGATTGGATCCCTAGTTTGGTACTTGCGTGTGTTTTGGGTTTATGTTTTCCACAATTCTAGATATGCACACTTATTTTATATTTAATGAATTTTCATTATTTGATTATAAGAGAGCGTATTGTATTGAGATTTTAAATAATTTTAATGGATTATTTTCGGACAAAAAAATTCATTGGTATTCAATTAGGATTTCAAAAGATTATTTTAAAGTTCGTCCAAATCTGTTAGTATTCAATCAGAATTTTAAATAAAGAAAAAATAATTTTGTGGTATTCAAAAATCTAACGATTTTAATGGATTTTTTTATTGGTGTGGATTTCGTGAAACTTTTTACTGAGAAATATAAATAGGATGTCTTACTCACAGTCTCACCCTAACCCCTAGGATTTCTTGAGATTTCTCTACTCCAACGTCTTCTTCTTCCTTTGACGGGTTGACCCACTCGAAATCGGACTTTGTCATGGGAGCTTCGTCAAAGCTATAGCAGATTTTTGGGCGATTTTCATCACAAAATAACAAACCAACAAGATTCTAATATAATCAATCTTAAAAATAGCAATTTTTTGAGCGATTTTTGAAAGCTTTTGGATGTTTAAAAAATAATTTTTCAAACTATAGGTCGCAATTTTTCTTGGCACAAAAATATGTGATTTTTGTATTAAAAACAAAATAAAAATGGAAAAACAATAGGGGAACTAAAACCCTCAAACCAATTTTTTTACATCAATGAAACAATATCAATTTTAAAGAAAGATTGAAACTTTTATAATATAAATCCTATATTCCATAACAATACATTCATGAACTAAATTCATTCGCTATAGGAAATGATTTCAAACAATTTTTGTATCAATAAATAACTAAAAACTTGTTTTTCAAAATCCCTAAAGCAATTTAAGGTTTCAATACATCGATTAAAAATAATTTGAAATTTTTTCTAAACTTTCATGTAATAAAACCTATAAATTCAGATTCAAAATTTTCTTAGAATACTTGAAAACATGCATATTATATATGGTTAGAAAACTCTCACCACGTAGAATAAAAACTTCAAGGTTTTCAAGATCAATTGCAAAAATTTCCAAACAAAATTTTATCATGAACTTTAGGTTCTATATGCAAATTTAGAATTATTTTAATAAAAAAACTTGGGTCTTATAATCAAATGAAGAAGATAGTTCTCAACTCATTGGTCAAATCCAAGAGTAGGAACGATAAAATGCTAATACGTGGAGGACTAGTATAGCTCTAGATATATGGAGAGCTATTGCTTAGTAATTTTGAATGTTTGTTAAAAATTATATTATGTTTTACTAATTGAGAAAATTATATCAGGTTTTATTTTTTTTATTAATATCATTGCATTTCTTTGTTTTTTTCGGTAAGCTCTTTGTTATTTTTTTATTGATCTTATAATTTTGATTGTTTGTTAAAAATTCATATGATTTTTAAAATCTTATAAATCCATATTCTTCTTTCAAATTTTATAAATTCTATTAAAATCCTTTAAAATCCAATCTTATGAATATAAAAAAATCTTTTAAAAAAGTCTTTAAAGTCCCTCCAATTCTAAATAGTATGTTAAAATCTATAAGATATTTTAATCTTAAAATAGTCTTTTAAAATTCTAATTCAATACACCCCCTTGAGTTTTGACTTATCTCACATTTTTCTCTAAATAATAGTTTATAAGATAATTTTTTTAAATTAAAATTAAAATAAATTACCAAAATGGAATTGTTTTGCACATATAAATGCACCTCGCGTGCAAAAAGTTAAATTCACGTGACATATGTTGCCTCTTATCTATATCTAATATTTGGTTTTAGATTGTTAAAATTAATTATAGGGCTTTGGTATTATTTGTTATTATTATTTTATTTAGAAATTTCGTCTTATTTTGGATTATCTTATAGTTCTTTTATTATGATGTCTAATTATGTTGAGTTTATAAATAGAGTGTTGGTATAAATATTTGGAAGACTTTTGGCATAATTGATTACTGATATTTTATTTTCTTCAACTAGTATATTGTAAAACCTTTAAAAATATAAATAATAACAATATAAATAATAAAAATAATATAAATCAATCACAAAAATATTATAAACAACACTCCAAAATATATAATTCAATCACAAAATTTTTATAAACAACATTCAAAAAATATACAAATCGATTATAAATTATTAAAAACAATACTCCAAAAATATATAAATGAATCATAAATTATCATAAACTACACTCCAAAAATATATAAATCAATAATAAATTAACAAAAAAAAAATTCCAAGACATTCACAGTGGAATATTTTCCTTTATGACTATTATTTAAATAAAATTTTACTATTACCGTATTAATTTTACCACTGGCGTTGCTATATTTTTCCTATAAATAGAGACTTCACAAACCATTAGTCATTTCTTGAAACTTTAAAGAATCAATGAGTGAAGAGTCTTGGAGAATTTAGAGAGAACACTACTACGAAAGAGGGAGAGAGAAAATAAAGGAATTTTAGAGTGAGAAAACTTGATAGTAAAGAAAGTAAAAGTAAATACTAAGGGTGGGGATAACTTCTTCCTTTCTTCTAAAATATAAACTTTATGGAAGTGTTATTTGTTATTCAAATTTTACTTTTTCTCTTTTTCCCCTGACCGGTCCGGATGGGATACCGCGTTTCATTTTATTTTATTTATTTCAGCAATTTATATTTTTGTACTTTATATTTTGACAATTTATTTTACAACAATTTATATTTTTGCAATTTTTCTTCAGCAATTTACATTTTTGCACTTTATATTTTAGTACTTTATAATTATGGATAAAGTGCGTGTCAATCTAAATGACACACACTATGTCATTTTAAGTTAAACGCTGCGTTTCACAATGAAAATTTCTCACCAGCTTTGTGTGTGTCCTCCACTCTTCTCGCGTTCTCTATTCTTCCCTAATCCACATGTAAGTTATTCATTCTCCTTTCTCACTCAAATCACCTTTCCCCACCATTCTCATCTCCATTCTAATCTCTGTTTTTCTTCAAGTTCCTTCTCACCTGCTGTGTGCGCTGAATATGTCCTCCACTCTAATCTTTTGGGTAATCAAAGGCTTGAACGAGATTAAGAACTTCAATTGTCATTTTCTATTTTTCCTTTTGTTCACTGTTTCTTTAATTTTATTTATTTCTTTTTTCTTTTTTGTTCTTTTCCTAGGTATAAGTTTACACAATTTTCTAGAAGGAATGACAGTATTCCTTGGATCCATGAAGGTACCCAAGAACTTATTGATATGCATATGGATCTAACACTTTTGTCATTAATTGTTGAAGGAGTACTTATATTTACACTGATATGCTTGTTAATGCCACTTTGATTTGATATTTGTGACATGTTTTTTTTTAATAGGGACTCTGTGTTGGCCTTAACTTAGCGTTGGCCATTGCTCTGCACAATATCCTAGAGGTATACATTTTGATCTTATGAAGGAATCTATTTACTCTAGATGCAATAGTTATATTTGAGTGGTGCAATTACAGAATGATACAATCTCTAAATTGTAATTTCTAAATTTGTGCCATTAAGGAAAAGTTTTACTAGCATGTTCTGATTATCAAAATAATGTATTTTGTCATTTGCTGCCTGCATAATACTGATTGATATGTCATGATATATATTATACACTTAGTGGGATGATAAGACTATACTTAGATACTAAATATAGTATTTTAATTAAATGTATTTTTTTAATCCATTTGATATAGGTTTGTTTCAAATTTGCAATTTACTATGCTGTTTGTTTGGTATGAAAATTAACGAGTCTATGTTAGGAGTTTCTGAACCTGTGACTCGAAAATAGTTGTTTGGTTTAGTTCTGTGACTTCTGTCCTTTGTGATGCATGCATCTTAGCACTATCTTCTTTTTTTTTGGTGTAGAGCACTGTGAATGTGTATGCTTATTGTAAACCTTATAATAGTCTAAGCTGGGATGTCAATTTTATGAAAGTCTAAGCTGGGATGTCAATTTTATGAAAGTCTAAACCTTATTATCTCACTTCGGCCACTTGTGGTCATTCCGGCCCAAAAAGTATCTTTCAAATATGTCTTTGCCCAATGATGACGTGAAGCATACATGTTAGACAACCAAGTACCTATTTGATATCATATTTAGTCCTCAATGATTCCCATTTGTCTTCAAACTCATCAATGCTTGGACTTTTATACCACGCACGAAAGTCAACATCAAAACTCTCCTTAAATTGTGCGCATAGTGCTTGAGTATATTCCATAACATGTTTTTTCATGTGCTATGCACAGAAACGATGTTGTGTTGTGGGAAATATCTTGGCAATTGCTTTTCCAATAGCTTTGTCTTGATCAGTGATAATAGCAAAAGGAGACTTGTCAAACATACATGTCTGAAACTGTTCAAACAACCAAGTATATATTGCCTCTGTTTCATCTTCTAACAAAGCGGCAGCAAATAAAATTGATTGCCCATGATGATTAACCCCAACAAAAGGGGCGAAAGGAAACTTGAACTTATTTGTTTTATAAGTCACATCAAACACAAGGAGATCACCAAATTGAGCATATGCAGCTCTCGACTTACCATCCGCCCAAAATACACTTCTTAATTTTCCATCTTTCGCTAAATGCATATTAAAATAAAAAGATCCATCAAGAGTAGACTTCCTTTGAAAGTGCTTGATGATGCCTCGACATTCTCGCCCCACATTATTCCTTCGCAGAACTGATATAATACTAGTAATTTGAGCTGGAGTAATGTTAACTTCTTTGTCCATAGCGTTCACCACCTTTGAGATCTTTGAAGAAGTTAAACCCTCCTCATAAAGCATAGAAACAAGAGATTTAGCAACTTTTGAGCGTCATATTTCATTCTGAGAAGGAAACTTCTTCACCTTTGA